CAACGTAGGGAGGTCCCTGAACATATCGCTCGACCAGACTATGCCTTACATCCAGCTGGAATACCACTCAGCGAACAAGCTGTAAAGGGTTCTGGTCAGATAAAAATCCTCAATGATGAAGAGATTGAGGGCATGAGGATCGCATGCAAGGTATATAGTATGTTTAGTTGGGCTTGAATGACATGAGTATCATGTCAGAAACAAGAACATGTTGAACATCCGTATTGTATAGATTTTATATAGTATTTTTCGTTTTTATAATACATCACGATCAGATTAATTTCTGTATAGCTTGGTCGTCAAGTCTTGGACGAAGCTGCAAGAACGTGCGACGTTGGCGTTACAACGGCTGAAATTGATAGAGTAGTGCACGAAGCTTGTATCGAAAGAGATTGCTATCCATCGCCCTTAAATTACTATCAATTTCCCGCCAGTTGTTGTACTTCGGTCAATGAAGTAATTTGCCATGGCATACCTGACACTCGACCCTTACAAGATGGCGACATTTGTAACGGTATAATAACTTGTCAATCATCGACATAGGATGTTTTCTTTTAAACATCCTAAACATCATGCGTTATCGCTTATTATTGTTTCTTCTTAGTTGACGTTACGGTATATCACAATGGTTTTCATGGAGATTTGAACGAGACCTTTCTAGTTGGTAACGTAAAACCGGAAGTAAAAAAGTTGGTAGAAGTGACATACGAATGCTTATCTAAGGCCATCGATATTGTAAAACCTGGTGAAAAATACAGAGAGATTGGTAATGTTATTCAAAAGCATGCACAGGCACATGGTTTCAGCGTGGTTCGTAGCTATTGCGGTCATGGGATTCATCGTTTGTTTCACACCGCACCGAATGTGCCGCATTACGCCAGTAAGTCTTCTCCTCATGATGATTTTGAATGATGAATAAATTTATATTTATATTTCCAATCGAATATAATTATATTTATACAAACTTTATTTTCTAGAAAATAAAGCGGTAGGTGTTATGAAACCCGGACATTGTTTTACAATCGAGCCGATGATATCTCAGGGAACGTGGAAGGACGAAACATGGCCAGATAATTGGACCGCTGTTACATCGGATGGTCAATGGTCGGCACAATTCGAACATACGCTTTTAGTAACAGAGACCGGTTGTGACATTCTTACGAAACGGCATACGAATGACGGTAGGCCATGGTTTACAGATCACTTGTAGTAACGTATTCTTTATTTTCTTACAATATCTAAAATGAAATTCATATGAGAATCAATAGAAGAATCTAGATATATCTAATCCAAGTTACTCAACCTTATATATTCTACAAGATAAAATAACTTTCTGTTTTTGCGATTGTACAGTAATAATAACAAGAAATAAGAATAAATACGATATAATTTGGTTACCCTTTCAATTTTCTGTAGAGGCATTTGTTACGCGCACTTGCCAGTATATAATAATTTTGAATACTTAAATTCTAAGATTAAAACTGTAAGTTTTTATGAGAAGAAAAAGTTAAAGATAATAAACTAATAATTTGTACTTGATACAAAGTGTCGATTACGTATACTATGTGACATTATTATTAATATATCCATTTTTACATATATATTTTTACATACGTACTTGTCGTATGTACATAACATACATACAATGTATGTGTGCCTTTATAAAGTAATAATGCATAAATACCTGGAGCAATATAAATAAAGTTCTAAAATCAACAAAGAACTTTCATTGATCATTTGTTAACAAGATGGTAAGTACACGTCTTCTGTGAGGATGTATGACTTTAAATAAATTATTAATTTACAATATACTATCACTATTTTTTTCCAACAATCGTCAATTATTAATGTTATATATGTACGTGCTCACGCGCGATAATAATTTTTATTTGATTTTTCCAATCTTTTAAGAATGCAAACGACTACCAAATTCGGAAATGTGGAAGTTATTGTCGCGTGACGTCGTTTTTCCATTGAATAAAGTCGCAGATTGCGTATTTTCAATTTCCCCATCTTCATTTTCATACTCATATTCCATGTCTACCACATCATCTTTTCTTACATCGCTTCGATCGTCATTGTTCATAACGTAGTCGCTTTCATCAGATACCGTAATTTGCAGAGGTAACTTCTCATCACTTTGTACCCTATGGTTTTGTTTATGGTGTTGCTGACTATTCTGACTTGATTTCGATTTATTATATTCCTGCCGTTGATCATCATCGATTTGTGACTCGACATGTTGACCTGTTATCGCGTCATCGTCATCGTTCTTATGATTAAGCGGCATTGGTTCGTCTTCCCGCATATTTTTTCTTGTTTTCGAAGTTGGCCAATAAGACGACTATTAACGTTACCGGCAGCGGCTAGCGCGGCTAATTTTTCAGCAGCTTCTCTGTTGGGAAGTGTCGTATAGAATCTTGTCGATATAACATTATGAGGCACTTTATCGAAATATGTCTCCGGATTTCTTTGATCGATCGTTTCTTCATATTCGATATTATTCTCAGATTGTTCGTCTCCGTCTATAGGATATATAAATTCTTCGCTAGAACGCGCATTAACATTTTGTTTACGTATATCCAGTGGAGATTTTGAATCAAGATTGTAATCTGCCGTGACACTTTCGGAGGCGTAATTTTGGTCGAGTAATATCTGCTGCTGTTGCCGTTGTTGTAGCTGGTTGGTCTGTTCGTCGTAATTGAAAGAGTGCATTTGCGGTTGAGAAAAGCTTGTCGCCACGTCTGGTTCAAGTGTTTGGCCAAATTGCTGCTGAAGGACATGATGCTGATCTGATAATGATAAGAATTGATATAATTAACATATATAATTTTACTTCATTGATATAATTGATAATTGATAATTTTTACTTCAGCATCTATACACAAAATATTTTTATGTAAAATTCATAAAAAAGAGAAAGAAAGAAGCAATGATTGCAATTGTTAAAATTTAGTTAAAATAATAGATAGCAATGGATCTTACCAGAGCGCGAAATTTTGATACTCGATAAATGTTTCAATCTGAACATCGATTTGAATGAAAATTTTGATTTCACAAATTCCAAAAGAATAGAAAAACACGACACACGCGAAGAAATGTTATCGAATGAATAATAATAACTTGTATATTCTCATTTTCTATGACGCGATCTGTGCAATATTGCATATTTTTTTCCTAGATCGAGCTTTATTTAGCGTATGCCGTATAAAGATCCGATACCTGTTGCATATCGCTCCGCAAGTTTGTGTGGGAAATTATTCAATAGATCGTAGAGTTGTGTAGCTGACAACGGTGGTCCTGCTGGAGCCGGATGACCTACGTGAAGATCCGTTGGTATCTGTTGCGCAATGGTATACGGTGGTGTCTGCTGAATAACAGTGGAAGGAAATCCAATATTTAGGGGACCGTGAAGATTTGTTTGAAGGTTCATTGGCACATTTGATTGACCAAATTGCAGATTCGAATCTATAATACTCGTATCTGAATTAACAGGATGATTTGCGAAAAGCTCGTTGGATTGCGGTTGAGGATTGTTAATTATAATCGAGTATAATTTCGTTATATCTAAATCCTGCGGTTGAAAAGTAGTCGGCTGAAAAGTTGGATATTCCTTTAGAGTCACATCGTTGCTCTCTGTAACTTGATATTGATGTTGCGACGGAATCAAACTCGTCGCTGTTCTTTGCGATGGTAGATTATCGCTAATGGTGGCTAATCCAAAGGTGATTCTTCTAGAGTCTGTACAAAAGTAAGATCCGCGAGAGTCATCTAAATTTTGACATCTTAGCCAAAATCACAACAAAAAAATGAGTATGACGTAATAAAAATGAATTTGTTTTTTTTACTTTGCATAGGATTATGAAAATTGAGATCGCTCGAATACGGCCGATGATTCGCAATATCTTCCGCATTGTGACCCGTATTGTAAGGCTTATCTGCCGGGCTCAAATTTGGTGCCGGGATCGTATGGATAGGTCCTTTGTCATCATCGACACTCTCTCGATGAGTAGATGGCAAAATTGATAATTCTGGTTTATATTCCGGACTATATTCTGGTACTTTGTTTATAGAATAAAATTCTTTAATAGGAGCACGTTGTGGTAAAATTGCACGGTTGTTCGGGGTGGATATTGCTCGCATTGGAATTTGATTCTTCCAGTTGGTCGACAAAACATTGTATATCGGTCGACGAATTCTGAAAATTGAAAATAGCATTATCCTCTCTCCCTCCCCCCCATACACACACACACACACACATACAAAATGTAATGGAGAACAAATATTTGAAACCTGTAAATTCTTACCTATAATTGACATGCTTATAAGGTATTCTCTGATGAGACAGACTACCACCGATATGAATGGTATTCCCCATAGATATTCTTTGATTGATAGGCCGAGGCTTTTTTAATACCAGCGTCGAACCATATGATGGGGTTAACGGTCTCCTAATCTTATTCTTTGCTTCGGAAAGGCAGATGCACACGGCGAGGAGCCAGCAAATCCAACTGGTTGTCTACAATTTGATTCATACAGAGTACACCGAATTGATTCTTCTCGGAAAACAACCTTCGAAAAATTTCAAGAGAGATTACTCTCTCATAATTTTCTAAGCGAAACAAAACGCTTTTTACTTTACGGCATCACGTATAACTCTTTAGGTCATGTCATATCCATTACGCGACACGAACAAAGAGCATGTATACACGTGTACGCGTGCTGGCAAAACCAAAGAGAAAATTGCAGCAAATCATGAGAGCGCTAAATGTGGGACATTGTGCCACATCGACTCGCGGGAAAAGTCCCGCGAATATAATGAAAGAAGAAGCGAAGAGTAAAAAATATACGTGAAAATTGAAAAAATGTCACTGACCTGATAAAAGTTTAAGATTTTTAGAACTTTAATTTTAAACGACATCGCCGAACAAATCTTGATCCACTCTCGATTATACAGCGAGCGGATCAAACGAGCGGAACAAGGCCGACTTGTTCCACTTTTGGATAAATTTAATTACTGTACAAAGCTATGAGTAGGAGAAAAAGAATGTGAAAGAGTGAGAATAATCGAAAGAGATTTATCGAAAGATTGAAAGATGCAACAACTCGTATCCTCAGACAAAGATTTTGACTTTCAAATCATCTCTCAGAGATATCCATTGTTAAGTAGTCTCTATTAAATTCTATGTCTATATTAAATTTGAAAATATAAATCACATCGAATTGATATCAGTTATCATACTTTAATGTAAAATGAAGAGAGGAAGGGAGAGTTATTTATGAACAATATTTATCAATCTATACAGCCTATAAATTCATTGTTTATGTAAAATTATGATTATTTTACAAATTGTCAATAAGAAGGTGTCAATCACAAGTTCTAACACGCATTGCCATAATTTTCTATCTCGAATATAAACTCGATTTTAAACTTGATATATAAAAATTTACTTTAAGATAAATTTGTTATACAATAATATATCATAATAGATTTACAGGAATCTTTCATAAATATCTTCTGTAACTGCTGAAGAAATCGTATAATGACATGTTAAATGTACTTTGAATGAACAGTGTCTAATTTTTTTGTATAACACACATAGGTCTTACCTTCATAATAATTCACGCTCTTGTCAATTATAATATGCAAAACTGCACTATTTCTATTATTAGAAATGTCCTTTCTCCTCTTTATTTCTTTTCTTTAATTTACGAGAACTTTAAAAATATATGAAAAAAAATATAATAGTTAACGTAATTTTACGTTATATAAATAATCAAATATGAATTGCGCGCGCGATGACTGATTGACCGAGGAAGCACAACGCGTTCTGCAGGCAATTAGGTCATTGTCCTTCATTTATACTCCGAACCGGCGAATGTATCATCCAAGAGTAAAAAAAGACCTCCTACCTCGCCAATCCGCAGCAATTTCTTCGAAATTATTGGTAAAAATTAAAGTAAATTAAATAGAAAAAAAGTAAATTATATATATATATATATATATATATATATATTAATGCCATTTTAAACGATATTTCTCTCGCCAAGAAAATTCTCATATAATTTAAATTCGTAGTAAATTATATTATTGCGTCAAAGAATTTTCATTGCATGCTGTATCGCATGCTGCTAAATTATTGCTATAAGCCTTTATAACGATATTAAAAGAAACTTTTCATAATTCAACATTTAAATATAAATTAAATGCAATGACAAATATTACAAAGAAAAAAATAAGAATTCTCAAGATGTTTGTTGAGAAAAAATATCATCTGCGAGCATATGTGTTCATGTATGCTTATGAAAAAAAATTAGGATCTTTCTTACTTCAAATCTTGTGTGTCCATTCGTGAGACTGCAACCAATTTGATCGAAGGCGTAATCTCACGCCGGTCACGCTCTCGCGACGTTTTCTCTCCATATCCTCATACCGGATTCGCTTGGGAATGCAGTCGTTGATGCACGGTTGAAATCCGTGCGCGTTGCGATCCAATGACCCATATATAATTGTAAAAAATGCTCGCGAAGAACTAAGAAAAAAGAATTAATGACAGCATAAAATTTCATCTTTACTTTTTTTTACCTAACGTATTGTAAAGGACACTTAAAAATTTTTGCGTCATATATATTTTGTATGATTCTTATTGGTTTTTATATTATATTTTTCTATTTTCTATTTCAATTCTTCTCAGAAAAGGAGAAAGGGAAAGATAGATGTATGTATTTACTTGTCTATATTTTTACAAAAGCTTGGTATGTGCATGCGTGTACATACATATAGTCTAGGATATTGTTAATTGTAATACATGATGAGATATTAAGATTCTTGAAAAAAATAAAATTGCTTTTTAAATCTAAAAAAAATTCTTTATATTCTCTTATTTAAATAACGGAATTTTTCATTTATTTTGCCTCCATGTCTTCGATTACATTACGTTGTATTGTATATTTTGTTAAGGAAATTAAGATTATACGTTTAATTCTCGTCTTGAGAGCCAAAAGATATAAAAATTCTGTAAAATCAATTTTTCAGAATAAATTTTACCGCCCATTTTTGTGATGTGTTATATGTTAAAGATAACGAAAAGTTAAAAATTAGAAACGACGAAACAATTGCTTTTATCGATAAGAAAAAAGTTCTGGATTCATTTTATGTGATATGATGGATTGTTTTGTGATTGAGATGAAATTCGTATAGGTGTATGTATGTATAATTCAAATTTTAACCCATTTTTCCTATACATGCTCTAATTAACCGTCAATTGAAATGGAGTCTCTTTCGATACACATATGTACCGTTTAATAGCGTCCACAACGGTACAATGTAACGGTAATTAAATACAGTTGGCTAACCAAATTGACCAAATATATGTATATTTAATCTCTCACTCGGATGATAACAGATGATAATTAAATGAAACTTTCACTGTAGCTAACGATATGCGATAATGCGTTGATAATTCTTTTCGTGCTATCGCAAAACCGTGGTTAGGTAAAAATTTATCGCCTCATGTGCAAAAAATTGGTCGTCCTTTTCATGAAAAAACGATTAGCAGAAATGATCAATTTATAATAAATAAGATATGCAAACTCGTACCTAACTGCACCTAACCCGCGAGTATTGCACGTTTTACACATTACTTGAAATTTTATTTGAAATTACTTGAAATTTTGTTGACTCTTTTTCCAAAAAATAGCATTGTGGCGACCTGCAAATAATTCTACTGATTACGAATATCTTAATTCCGATTTTAATATAATTTTCTCTGTATTTTAGTTGTAATAAAGTGATTGCGAATCCATAGTTCGCAGCCAGCCAGCAGAGGTCAGCCATGATGAAGTGTTGTTCCCTTTGTCGATGTAAAGGTTAAATTTGATTCACGTGTTTTCAAGTTTTATATTATATGATTAATTAAGTCATAATAAATAAATTCAAAATAAAAATGGAAGAACAAAGAAAACGAGTGGAAGATCACATGACAAAAATAGTTGAGGAAATTGATAAAACATATTTACGAAGAATGCAGGTACTTAAATTTAAAATATAATATTATAATAATCGTGTATATTCATATTGTAATAGTAGATCATATTGTAATAGTAAGAGTTAATATACTATTTTTAAAGTTATAAGAAAGAAATATATATATATATTGATATATATATATATATATATATATATATATATATATACTAAAATTCTTAAAATTTATTTTATATTGTATTATTACTTATATTCGTACATGCATACGAAGATAAAAACTTATTAAAATCTGTATATTGTATAATCAGTTGTGTGTGTGTGTTAGCAAAATGTTTGCCGAATGTCAACAGACTGGCAACAGATTTGATCAGAAAATGTTAGAAGATTGACCTCATCTGAAATCGCATTTTGCTTACACTCTGTTGACAGAATCTGTTGACATTCTATGCTAATAGACTGACAATAGAATCGAGCAGATCTTGCTGACAAGATCTACCGGTAGACTACTGGCAGCAGAAATCTGCTGACAAGCGATATCAACAGATTCTGTTAGCATTTCTGAGAGCAATTCGCCGACGTTGACAGATATTACAGAATCTGTATGAAATCTGTTGTCTTTCCAGCATCAGAAATTTTTAACAGCGCATAATCTGTTTTTTTAAGTTTGGCTGTCAGAGTATACAGCTGTCTCAAAATTACTAAATGTTTTGCTGTTCACTTTAGTAAAATATTTTAAATCGAAAACTTTTATGGAGAATTTCCATTTTTAATGGTCATTTTTTTACATTTTAATATCTTTGTTTTTAATTTTAAATCAAATGATATAAGACACATAACTTTACAAAATATGCAGTTTGCAACATATAAGTACATACTTTTTTGAAAAACAATTATGTATCTTCTTTATGTCAATTGATTTGTTTTATTAAAATATTAAAGTATGATTATAAAAAAATAGTTTTTGAATAGCTTTTGAAATATTTTATATTTCATATTAAAATACAATAGAAAAACTATAAAATATCTCATAAACAATTGATTTTTTGACAGTTTCATCTTAATATTTATACATCCAAAATAATTAAAGGAATTATATTATGTAAAGATATATGATTTTATTAAAAAAGAAATGGCATCCTTAAAAAATATCGTTAATAGCGAATGAATCGATATCATATGGATCCCTTGAAATTTTTGTGAATCCTATAACTTTTGTATAACAAATGTTTTCCAAAATTAGAAATAAAATAGTCTCGAAAGTTGATTGTTTTTAAAACAAAAGAGATAATCTTTTTTAATTTATATTGATATAAATTTTTATACAATAATGAAGAAGTAACTTCTAAGTTTTATCTTATTTATTTGTGATTATTTAATTTACTATACTAATATAATAATGTAATAATATTACGGAAGATTAATTAAATTGAATTATCAAAGTTTTCAAAATAAATTGTGTCATAAGTAAATGAATAAAAAGGATATCTTTATTAGAATATCTTTATACAATATACTACTATGCTTAACCATACAAATTTTTTACAAATCGACAACTTTAAATATTTCCTATTTAAAAACGATAGTTCTGATATTTTTCTATGAGAATGTTTGTAATAAAATATTTTTAAAAAATCTATTAATAAAAAATACCCATTAATCTCCTTGATATATGTATAAGAATATTTTATTTCAGAGAGACATGCATAGATGTGCTGCACAATGTTGT